GCCAAGCCAATCTCCTGACATGAACCCCATCGAAAACGTCTGGGCCATACTCGACTGGCAAGTCAAGAAACAACCAAAAAACCAACTTCGAAGAGCGATCTACTCCAAGTTTTGAAGGAAGAGTGGGCAAAAATCCCACAATATAAAATTAATGAGATGATTCTCATGATGCCCCAAAGGATCAACGAACTCCACGAAGCGAAAGGAAGATCTACTAGATATTAATTAAATTATAAATATATCAATTCATATGAATACGACTGAAAAATTTCATTTTTTCTGAAAAGATGGTGTCTATTTACTTGTGACCACGCTGTGTACATATCTAAAATTCTAGTTCAAGTGAAGAATTATCTGTGGTGAAGTGTTACAAAATTCTATCTTTTGTGGTATTCTTGTTAAACAAGGTTTCTACAATTCTATTATAATATCAATTTCTAATCACCAGTTTTCTTACTTCACAACATTTCTATTTATTCTTAGATACATGATAAAAAAAAGTGAAAGAACACATTTTAATACTTCATTACTTATCTGAAACACAAAACTAGCAAATATTGGAAAGTTTGTAGGAGAAGTATCCTTTCTTCATTATGGTGCAGATTTTTAAACTAGTGGCAGTGCTCTAGTGGGGAACATATGTCCATGACAATTAAGAGTTAATAATAAAATACATAGAGTATCGGAAATAATTACAGTAATGGTAATTTTCACCAGAGGGCAGTTTTGTGTTGATAGTTTGGTTGTCATCCAAACAATCATAAAATGCTAGAAAATTATAAAGCCTATAAAAGTATAGCCAGTCGTACTATGCCCAAAAATAGTAGTGTGATTCCAGTCATGGGTTTCAGAACTGAAGCACTGCATGAAAAGAATATAAAAATCTACGTTCTGGCTGGTAGAGTAAACTCTATGCTAAAGATTGTGGCAAGATCCCATGTTTCAATAGCAGCTCTAAGCAAAACTCTGAAAAGAGTATGTGAAATTAGCAATGTTAATAAATGAAGTATTTGAGGTAGAAAACCAAAATGTTTCAAAAGTGATGTCAGGTACCTCACGGTATTCTTCACTAGATACAGAGGGTTGAATACCTTATATGAAATGCTTTTGAATATGCAAATCAGCAAATCATGTGACAACAACTGCAAAGCTAAAGTCCTGGTGGAATGGATGTATAAGAGCTACATTTTTACATTGTTTGACAATTCATAGGTAGTGTGATGCAACTGAAAACTGATAGCTTTTATGAAGGGTGAGTAACAGCTTTTTCTGACACAAAATATTCATACACTCATATCATAAAGATGTGTTTGAATCAGATATTTTGAATTTCCAAGATGGGATATCCCTTGTACTTGATAGAATTGAAAAAAAAAAGGGATTATTGACCAACCTAGACACCAGGACTATCCAGTAACAGATCTGTAACAAGCCATACCTTAGCCATGGTTACCAAAGTGTAGCATCTTGTAACAGGTGAGAATTCATGGATACAAAGGTCAGTTTTGCCAAAATCAGATTAGTTTCATGAATTTCTAAACTATTTTTTATATTTTTTATTAAAAACAGACAAAAAATACCTTCTTCAATGTTGAAAATATTTTTTAGCTTTTATTATACAGATACAACAAAGAACAATCAGTTTTCTTAAGCTTACTAAGCAACACGACTAAATAAAGAATACTTAAAGGATGAAAAATTTACTGTTACTTTACAAATGGCAGGTCTTTCCAGTATGTTTTGCTGCATATGTAACAACTCATATAATTAAAATATTTAAAACCACTGTAATATTAAAATTTACACTTTTAATAACAACTTATTATTTAACAATGCAATAATTTCTTTCAACTATAAACATAAAACTAATGCAAGATTAGAACTTTTTTAACAAAGACATTTACATTAAATAAGCACAAAATATTGCAGTTAATTATACTTGTACATGTGGTTTGAAACCTTTATAATATCACTTTAGTTATCCGAGTATATCACATTCAATGCCAGATAAAATGAAATATATAAACTTTTAATACAGTGATTAATACCACATAGATACTTATTACTTGAAACAGTTGAAGTACATTGTCAAATTCTAATACAAGCTTTTAACCTTCAAGAGACCAGCTTGACACAAATGTGTACATTTATATACATGTAAAAGAGGGAGAATGAGATGATAAATCAGCCCTTTTCTTACCAAAAACTGGAGCAATGCTCTCTGAATCCCATTGATAAGATCAGTATCTGACAGAAGGAAGATCATTCCCTGATTAGACTGGACCACATTCATCAAAAATTCCTTTACAAGCCTTATAACAACTGAGTAACATGTTGTTGATGGGCACGAAACCAAGACGAATAAGCTCTCCAGCAATTTACTGTAAAAAAAGACATTACAATTATTCCTAAGAAATAATCATTCTTAGTATGTATTAATATGCCTCTTTTCAGCCTCCTGATAAAGAAGGGACCATTCTTAGAAAGCATGCAAATGTTTGAGCCATTATTTTGAGCTTTGTACAATTCATGATGCTGCTATACTTCAGAATTTCAGTTTTTCTATTCTCATTTTGATAAAACTAGCTTTAATATCTTAATTGTTTATATAATGTAAGTAATGTTTTCTTGCAAAATGTCATTTTGGCCAATTGATCTCTTTCATGTGTAACAAAATAACCAAATACCACTTGACAACTGATCTCTTTTTATGTGTAACAAAATAACCAAATACCACTTGACAACTGATCTCTTTTTATGTGTAACAAAATAACCAAATACCACATTACACTATATAAACATCAGCTCTTGCCTTTGCAGTGAGCTAACAACTTGAATTAAGTAAACTAAAAGTGTAGTTATTCTCAGTAATGACTATAAAAATCAAAATGAAAAAAAACTAAATATATTACCTAAGCACTAAGGAAATAATAAACTTATCAGACATAAACAGGATGTTTAGATAATTAGCATGAACATATCCATCTAATACATAAATTAATGATGATAAGCTTACTGAAGTTTCTCTTCACAAAAATATTTTTAACAAATCTAACATTTTAGTTACATTTGTGCTGCAAAAAAACAAACATTTTATTACCATTATAAAATAAGAAAAAGTAACAATACCAATCACGAAAAAGACGAAACAATCCTGGAAATGGGTCAAAAGGTGCCTCTGCTAGCATGAACTGTGTACTTGCTGGAAGGCATCTCAAGGTCTGTGTCTGAAAAATAAAAACAAGACATTACAATTTTACTTTCTACAGAAAGTTGGATTTAACAATTACTCACATAAATAGGACTTAAAAATACATGTGTTATTTTGATTTTAGGCTTAAAAAAAATTAAGAACAGATTATTTTGTACCTTAAAGCACAACCCTATAATTTCAAGTCACTCAATTATCAGTAACATTAGTTGTACATTACTGTTTCTCCAAGTCGAGAAATGAAACAGAACAACAAAAGTATGCATGTCTGATAAATGTCATCATTTATATTTCCATGACAGTTTCATAAACTATGATAAAATAAGTTGATAAAGCTCAACTTTTCACCAACATTTTGTGAATTTGGTTTAGTTTCGCACATGAGAGATAAATTATTAAATAATCCCATTCTGAAAATCAGCTGTATCATGTTAAGTACCTAAGTACCGTATCTTATATTGTGCCAATATTAAGAGCTTTAAATGTTTTCTATAAATCTTGTTACAATTTCTAACAAAAATTTAAAGAGATAAACTCAGAAAATAAAAAACAGCAACACAGTAACAACTTTTTCCTTTTGATAATTCCATCAAACTTTTTTGATAAATGTTAATATTTCTTTAAGTTTTCTTGATGAAGAAAAGAAAAAAGAAATAAATCATTATTTATTTTTTACACAAACAGCAATCAATACACTCTTAAGAATGGAACTACAAATATCTAAAATTGTCACTTATTTGTAATTAGTGTGAAATTGCTTGAATTTTAAAAGAAATGTACTCTAGCTTATATCAAAATTTGCTGTCCCATACATATCCTTGCTACCAGCACAGACAGACGACTGGGGGAACTTCTCTTTATCAGTTTTTAGGTTCTAACTTCCATAATAATTGTAAATAAAATCTGGTCAGTTTCAATACTCTCAATACTAATCTAACTGTTTAGAGAACAGAGGTGGTGACAGCTCTCACAGACACACAGGTTACAAATTGGTTAGAAGTACAGTGAATCCTTGTTAGTCCAACATTGATAATACAAATTATTCAAAATTCATGTGATTTTTCATAGAGACAAACCTTCACAAGGGAAAATTTGATCAATAATATTTGCATTCCAAATCCAAACAGCTGTTTCTTATAGTAAACAAGCAATTCCTAAGGATACATGATTCTATAATCTACAAATGGCCAGAAGAATGAAGTGAGAGTCAATTAGAAAAGGAAACGAGGTAATAATTATTTACCACTAAACACTCACTAACTAATGTGTACTGGTTTACCACAGTTTTTCTGAGAATTATCTTCACAAGATTTATGTTACTGTCAAGTCACATAGCTTGAAAACAAAGATATGTAGAAATATCTGCATCATTAAAACATGAATTTTGTTTATATAAAACAAATCCAAGTGTAAGTCTTGATACCATCAGTAAGTATTTCAGTGTCGAAAGAAATGTTCTCATCGGCAAGTCAACCATATCTGACATTTGTTGTAGCAAAAAAAATGGACAGATATTCCAGAAGATTGAGGTCAACAAACAAGGTCAAGACATTCAAAGCATGCAAACATGGAACAAGCTCTGTATCTTTTGATGTGTGATGTTGCAAAAAGAAATGTGTGTGCTAATGACGAAATGCTTATTAAGAAAGCTAATCAACTAGGATAACAGCTTGGCACAACAGAGTTTGGACACTCCAGAGGATGGCTGCAATGTTTCAAAGGCCACTTTGGAATAAAGAAGGCAAAACTGGTAGGTGAAGCAGCAAGAGCTATTCAAAACCACTAGCTGGAGGTGGTAATGACTATGTCAGCTAATCAGTGGCTCGAAATCAACTCAGCAAAACCAAACTCATCAAAAGTTGTTGGTTGAAAATATTATTTTCATCGTGCCTCTTCAAGAGCGTGATGACAACAAATCTGACATTGATAGCAATCCACCAGTTCAGCCACTCAGTCTGAATAAAGCACAATCTAACTATAAAGACATTACAAAATAGTTTGGGCAAAACAGTGATTTATAAGAGATTATGAGGCTATGCATTATTTGCTTAAAGCTGCAATAAGCTTCAAAAGAAGCAAATTCAAGTTAAAAAGCACACTGATTACATCCTGCTTTGGAAAATGATTTGTTTTATATATGACCAAGACTATGTATTTTATATTCTGCAAGTCACTGGTTTGATAAAAATAATGTTTTACATGAAAATAGAAAAACGTAGATTATGCAATTTGTATAGTTAGTGATGACATACAGAATAACAAGCTGATAAGTTTATTTTACATACAGTTGCTTTTTAATTATCAGTTGCACGTCCACCCTTAATTGCTTGAACCTTTACACTTATAAACTCCATGATGACGAACTACTTACATTGTAAGTAGGTACGTATCTCTTGTGAAAGTTCTTTACAAAAAACAAACTAGTGGATGAAACTGTTTTAAACTTCACATGAAAGGTGTCCTAAAAGTATGTAGTTTCCAAAAATTAATAATTTAAATTAGATTTTTTTTTCTATTATTTATAATAAAACATTCATTATTTAATGAAGTTATTTGCACTCAGAGTCTGAATAGTTCACACGCAATGTGATTTTCATTTTGAGTTTTAAAATACTATTTCTTATCTTACAGTTTTCACATTTCATTTGCATAATCTCTGGAAGTTCCTAAATGAATATCAAAAGTTTTTAAGGTAAATATTTATATTTTATTTTCCATTTTCTCTACTAGATCACTCACTAACTCTAGTTAGAATCAACATACAGTGCAATGAAATGCTTAAAATTAAGAAATGGAAATATGTAGATACATTTTAGCTCTTTGTAGAAGTCTTTAGAAACTTGTTTTTTAATATGTATAATTTCACATCTTTATCTTTTCACTTGTAATTTATTTTTGATTTTCCTTTCCAATGATGCGGGTACACTAACATGTCCCCAGGGTGCTCTGTTGTTATTATAAGGCGATGCTCATGCACAAATTCTTTCACTAATGCTCACACGTGTGAATGACACCATCTTGCTTAGATATTTTCACCGCAAGTTAAACATATAAAAATCATAAACCTTTCAAGTATGAATTTTAAAACACAAATAATACATAATTAATTAAGACATAACACATAAAACCTAAATGCAATCTAACTGTCTAGCAAACTAATACCTATATGGCAAGCAACACTTGCCAAGCACTATGTAACCCTCAAGAGAACAATAGACTAAGCTTCTTTTCTATCTCATACTACAGACCTACACACTCCTAGAGATTTCTTCAGGCTATAACTTAATAGTGGGAAATCTGCTCTTTCTATTGGTTATAAGCATGCCATTCAACTTCAACCTGTTGCTTAGCAACACAGCTTTGACTTTGCAAAAGGGCATGGATGACCATAAACTTAGAAATATTTAGAATGTTTCACATAAGGAGAAATTCTTGAAAGGTCTCCAGATGGTAAAGAAATACATCTGGAAGTATACTTTGACCATTTGAACCAACACACTATATTAGCTACTCACAGTTTCTTGAATAAGAGCTTTTAAAGTTAGAATTGTAACAGCAAGTGGATCATGTGACAGCAAAAACTGCAGTTTTAATTGCTGTTTCAGGAATAAAACTTAGATAATATAAAACTAACTTATAAATATACTTGATAATAATAATTTCATTAAAATACATATATAGTAAAGTAACTTAGTAACATGCACAGAGGGGGGTTAACGGGGTTTAAAAGATAGCATCGTTGCTACAGAGTTAACAGTATCCACTGTATTGAAAGTGACTGATTCAACTATCCAGATGTCTCAATAATCCAGAAAAATTATTTCACTACAAAGACGTTTGACAGTTGTTGCTACTTACAATTAACAGTTTAGCATTTCTATAAATGCTATTTATCTCAATAAGAGCATTAACAATGTTCAAAATTTCTTCTTCCAGAGCAATATTATTTTTGATAGCATTGCTTTCTTCATCTGGTTCTACCACCTGTTCTTCTGAGTTTTCATTTCCCAACAACTCTTCACTCTGTTCCAGCACCCTGTCATAAGAGAAATCCTTTACATTAGTCTCTAAGAGGGCAGAGCCCTGGTTCCAAATAATACTTATTCAGGAAGAAACTGCTTTCATTGATTAACAAAAACAAGATGTTATCTGCATTCTTCTTAATTATGATTTAATTATGATAATAACTTTTTACAAGAAGATTGAACAAAAAGAGTATATTAATGTAATTTCCATCATTACATTTGGTTATAACAAAAAAAGTAGTTACAGACAAAGTTTCTTAAATATACAGTAGAGAAGATTTTGCTAATACAAAGCAATAACATCATCCACATGATATCTTAAGTCAAACTCAACAGAATTACAATAATTCTTTTTTCATTAATATATTTATTTCCTACTAATATTTACAATAGTATTTGTAAGAAAGTGCTTTGAGGAGGCTAACAATAAGGAGCAGTCAAGAAAAGAAGTTACTGTCTCAATAACTTGAATGTTTTGTCACTCTTTAACCATTTTGAGACGAGTCATGGG